GCTGATTCCGCCGGGTACTTTGGTGGCTGGCTGGCTGATTCCGCCGGCTACTTTGAAGGTTGGTGGCTGGCTGATTCCACCGCATACTTTGATAGCTGGCTGGCTGGCTGGCTGGCTGGCAGATTCCGCCGGCCACTTGGATAGGTGGCTGGCTGGCTGATTCTCCCGGATACTGTGATAGGTGGCTGGCTGGCTGATTCCGCTGGATACTTTCATAGGTGGCTTCCGGCATCTCATTCGCGCGTACAGTTGAATCACTTTTCGCGTGTACAGACGAGGTGCCGGCCACAGTTCCCGTCTATTTTGAGTGAGAATGGTCCTTTACACAAGTCCCAGCTCCACGGGCCGTGGAGTTTCAGTGTACCGCAGTTAGAGGTTCAGAGGACCTCACCGCACTACCCAAATGCGGTGTGACTAGTTCTGGCGCACGCCGTGCTAAAACCAGAAAGAGTGGCGGCGGTCCGGGAAAAGCGAGTTTGAATCTGATCTGGTCGAAATGCGTTATTTCAAAAATAGCTGAAAGTTCACATGTTCTTTACTTTTGGCACACACAGTTGGCTAATGAAGGAAACATGGACCAAACAAGTATTGGCGCCAAATGGTAAGAGGCGTCACAAGTAGTGTAGGCTAGTGATGGCTTCGGGTTTCGTTCAACAATACAAATTGATCCACTATATAATAGTCACATAACTAGTCACATTGCCATGCCACTGATGGCTAAACCCTTCAGATCCTAGAAGCTCATTTTGTCTGATGTTTGCCACGTGTCAAAAGAGCTCTGATGCGCGCTGTCCACGCAAACTGCACTGCAGCTTTCCGACATGCTGGCGCATCGCAAACATGCTTCGCTGAGGCCGCTGTGGGAAGGCAAAGTCATGTTGTTGTTGTTGTTGTTGTTGTTGTTGTTGTTGGTGGTGGTTGTTTGCTGTTTGTTGTTCCATGGGAACGAAGCTCTTGTGGGAGCGCAGCAACATTGGACAGAGCGTTGTTAGCAATTTCCACCTGAGCCGATGTTTTTGCGCGCGTAAAGGTTGATTGACTGATTGATTGGTTGGAACCTTGCCTCCTTGATCAACCCTTCGGGCCAAAAAGTGAAGCCATGTACGCGTCCCCCTGGGAAGGCTTCCTGCCAGCAAGGCAAACAACATAAACAACCTGAGAAGCGGCAAAACGAAAGCCAGCGTTTTTGCTTTCGAGTGTGCTTTCTCAGGCCACCCCCGCGAACCCCCCTTCTTACTCAGCTGGCGCAGGTATAGATACCCAGGGTAACTACAATTCAGTTACCAGGTATAGTACTTCAAGTTCCCTTTCCGTCAACCGCTCGATAACCTTTACACACGTACAGCAATCCACAGCTTTGAAGTCTCATTGAACTTGTATAGGTGTGTAAGAGATATAACAACATAGCATTTATACAGACCCCTTTATGTGGCTGATTCCGCCAGCCGCCGGGTACTTTTGGTGGCTGGCTGGCTGATTCCGCCGGATATTTTGCTGGCTGGCTGGCTGATTCCACCGGATACTTTGATAGGTGGTTGGCTGGCTGATTCCGCCAGATACTTTTTAGCTAGCTGGCTGGCTGATTCCGCCGGATACTTTGATAGGTGGCTGGCTGGCTGATTCCGCCAAGTACCCGGAACGCAGGGTCAATAGAAATGTATAGCAATGTAAATCAAAGTTCTGTCTTTCCGGGAATCACGATTGGAAGCCGAGCCCATTACAGTCACTGAACATAGGGAACCCCCATCACCTCCGATCAATCCAACCTCCATTTCTCACCCTCCAACCTTTTGGCCTCCAAATATAAATCTGCTCTGACCTCCAACACCCGCCCAATCCCTGTCACATCTGTCCCTGTCACACCTTTTGACCGGCCACGGCAGCCCCATCCATTCCACGGCTCCAGCAGTTCCGCGGCCCAAAGCCACTCACAGGCGCTCATAGCCGCATTGCACCCCACCACGTCCGCCGCAGCGTCTCCAACGCGGAACAGCGCTGCGCGCCAGAGTTGGGAGGCACCGCAGCTGGTGATGGCACCGTTCACGTGATAGGCGCCTGGAGAAGCATCGCAGTGACCTGGGTCAGGGAGAGGAGGAGGAGGAGGATGGCTGGGCTCGGCAGAGAGGGATGCCAGGGATGCTGTGTGGTCTTACCAGCTTGCCGTTCTCGCGCCTTGAGATGGCGTTCTTCCAAGATGTGCGTCTTGACGTTGTTGAGGCCGAGATCAGCAATGGGCGTTACGTTCAGGGGATCAGGATTGGCTCCGTCGAAAACATCCAACGTCACAGTAACGGCAATCACATAGGAGAGGAATCGGGGGCAACAGAATTGACCTCAGGAATTGGTCATCGATTGTCATTTGTCGGATGTCGGGTATCCTCTTCTTGAGTATCCACATGAAGGCGCCCAGCTCTTTTTCGCCCCTTCGCCCCTTCGGTCTCGTGCCTGGGGCCACCAAAACCGTGCCTTACATCCGAGCGACGCATGAGCTCCAGCGTCTCCAGCGCCCAGGGCCACTTCACGCTGAGCGCAGCGAAGCTGATGACCGTCCGCCTGGACCGGTCCGTGGGTCGAGTGGTGTCGAGCTGTACAGTTTGGATGTGTGTTTTTGGAAGTCCAGTAGAAAGAACTTCCCGGTCTAGTAGGAGAGTTGCTCCAAAAAGTCTCTCAGAAATTGGTGATGTACCCCGCATTCAAATCACTTGTATCTATATGATGTATGACTCTACTTGGATGCTGGAGGATGTCTTTCATCAGCACTAGGGGCCAGCTGCTTTGAGGACTCAGCATGCTCCATCTTTTGGAACAAAGACTTCCTACAGCCTGTGCTGAAATCCAATACTGGGCTTCCAGGACAAAGTGTTTGGTCTTTGGTCTTGGGGAGGAGGAGCGTTTCCTACAATCCCTACAACAAACCCTCAGGACTATTGGAGCAGAATAACAATCACATGTTGCATCTGCAGATATTCCAAACCACCTCTCTTTCCAGAAAACGTTGGCGCGTTTTTTCAAACGCGTGGGGTGTTGGGCGAGCAGCTGCAAGGTGTTGGTGCGCATCTCCTTCAAAACCTCCATGCTCTGCGTCCACCTGGTCAGTTCGGTCGGGAACGAGAAACCTGCGTCAAGATGCGAAGCAGAAACCTGTGTCAACGCAAACACACCAAACACACACACTCTCTCTCTCTCTCTTAAGTATGTTTAATATAGGAGCTTTGGTACCGAAGAGTGGCACCCTCCAGACTCCTGGAGATGTGGAGATGTGTCATGAGTTCGCAGTAATCCATCGCCCCGGTAGGTCTGGGCAGCCAGCTCTACCAGGTCCCAACAAATCGTGAGTTCTCGTCGATCAACACCCGAGCCGGTCTTGTTTCACAGATGCCTCATCCACATCCACTCGTTTCAAGCCACAAGCGTGGTTTCGAAAGCGCCTGGAACCCTGGAACTGTGTGATGTTTTACTCCAAGAATCCGCAGACGGAGAACCTTTTGGTACCAAATTCATCCAAATCCCAAGAAAAAAAATCCAAAATGATGTTGAGCGATGTTTCTTGAATCACCACGCAGGATTTCGGAGTTTGGTCGAATATCGCCAAGCACACAGCAAGCTATCATGGGCAGTATGTAGCAGGTATACATGGCAAATGAAACTCCCCGAGCTTTCCCTCTACAATCATGGAAAATCTTGGGAACATCCCGGTCGCTCAACGTTCCATCATCCACTCAGATTCATTCAGAACCAACTTCCGCGACTGCTCATATCATCTGAAGATCTCCAATTTCTTTGGAGCAAAAGCCACCCGAAAAAACCGCCCGAAGATCCACAGGCCGCAGCACCTGCCATCCTTGGCCGCAGCGCTGCTGGCGCCGTTGTAGCCCAGCACCTCGCAGCGCAGAGCACCACGCGCGGCCCAAGCCAGCAGCTGCAGCGCCTGGCGACGGAGGGAAGAAATCCTGCACCAAGAAAACAGGGGGTGCAAAGAACAATATATACACTACACTATACACTATAAACTATACACTACACTACAATATACAATATGCAGCAAAAGAAATTATATACTCAAAAACTCCACAACGTGACGGGAGTTGGTGCATCCGGCGCCGTGTCCAATTGGTTGAACACCGGTGACACCGGTTGGGCAACATGTGGGGCATCGGTTGGCACGTTGTTGCACGGTGCTGCTGCTCAATTGGTGAGGCAAGTTCTTGGGAACTCACATAGAGGAGGGCACCAGTTTCCGGGTCATCAAATCAGGAAGGTTTTCTGAGAGTCTGAGAGGATTGAAATGCTACATACCCGCTCCACCCAGAATAGTTGATACACCCTCATCATCCAGGTTAAAAATATCAAAAAAATACTTTGGAATTAGAATAGTCCCGGTTTTGTACTTGTTTTCTGCAGACCTGGGTATAGTAATTACAAAAAATTACGCAAATCTTCGGATTCTGTTCCACACCCACAGCATTCCATTACGCCCCCTTCTGCTGAGAAATCACAACTACTTCCCCATACATCCCGCCCCAAAAAGCTGATTCCAACTGCTTCAGGTTCGAACTCTTCCTTCAGTAAAACAACACTCACTTCCTTCGTCCAACCGTTTCAAACCCTTCAATCCATTCGTCCAACCTCGCCCACGCTTCTCCCTCGTCCTATCCTCCCATCCTCACCTCGCCCCAGCGGCCACGGCGCTCGCACGCCGCGCACGCGGAGTTCACCGTGAAGGCGTCCGCGCCGGCGCGCTCCGCGTGTCGCTCCGCGTGTCGCAGGAGGTGTCCGGCCAGAGGCCAGGCGCAGGCGGCCAGAGCCGAATTGCCTGAACACCATGGTTGGACAAGGCGGTGGGGTGGCGTGGCAAACGTAGCCATTGAGGGGACGAAAAAAGGTATATAAGGGGATGTAAGTGGGTTGTGTACTGTTCACTTTGGACCCTTGTTGATAATTGATTTGTTGGTTCTGTTGAACAATCTTGCCTATCAAATGTGATTGAAAGCAGTTGGAAGGGGAGTTGGGAAGCTTCCCTGTTTGATGGGTTCTACCACCACCCTTGTATTGAGTTGCTGAGGAGGGTTTGAAAGTGTAGAGTATAGGCTATACTAAGTTGCGAACCCGCTTGCTCCTTAGAATGGATACCAAGACTTCAACCCGCCCCCGCTCTTGTCGACGAGAAATGACTGGAGAGTGATTGCAAACAAAATGAAAACCATATCTGCACGGTTGCGCATTGTATCACTCACACGCAAAGTTGCCCCAGGCCAACCAAGACTTGTTTAAGTGGATAAGTCACACGGACAGTATTGGTGATGCAGAAAGCATCCGTTCACTCCCGAAAAAAATGAGAATCCCGCTTGTCGATTCCACCATGGGGTGGATTATGGTTCAATTTGTCACCAAGATCCTCCCAAAGTGTCACCAAGCTGCAGTGGATGATGTTGAACTTGAAGGCTTTCTGGCCTAAGACCTGCCAACGAACACTCTGCCGATACGAATCGATCGACCGGGCGCATTGGTCCGCCCCCGAAACGAAGGCGGGAACCACAGCAGTTTTGATGGCTTTTGCAGTTCATATCGGATTTCTCATTCTCAGATCACCTGGCCACTCACCTACCATCCCTTCAAGGACAAGTCTTCCAAATTCAGGTCATCTGTCTCCCACAATTCACGTTCCAACCTCTTGAAAAGACCACCTTGCAAAAGGAGCCCTTTCACACCCCCAAACCGGCCCACTCGGTCGTCGGAAGTCTGAGCTGCGATGGCACCGAGTTGACACGAATTCGGACCAGCAAATGCTGCGCTGCGGCCGGTGACGCGGATAGCACCTCCAAGTGCTTCAATGCCTGGCGCCAGTGACGCGCCTGCGCAAAGGTCTTGAGGCGACCTCCCAGCACGATGGGCGGCGTGGTGGCTCGGAGCTCGGAGCCGGAAAGACCAGGCGAGAAGCGTGGAAAACTGTGAGTCTGAAACCGGAGTCCAACGGGGTGACCAGTGGTTATAAGATGTTATAAGAACCTTTGTCTAAAGATGTGAGGACGAAATAATCTGAATCAAGGCTGTGTGACCGGCTCTTGGAGTGCCACCCAACGGTCATCCGCTCTTGGTCAACAGGGGTCCAATGGGACACAACATGACCGCAAACTGCCGGAGATTCTCAAACTCGGACTAGGAAGTTGCGGGACATTCAAAGCCGTAGAAACCAGAAGCACAAGCACTAGGATTTGCAGCAATTGATGTTTGACTCGACTCTGAACAAGGGAATAAAGTCAGAAGACAAGAACATCAAGAACTCGACCACTGCAGGGCGCACCTGTATGTCTTCTGCCGCGCATGTCTTTTGTGCTGCCGCACATTCTGCCGTGCACGACAAACTACACCACGACATCTCCCCTCCCAGTGGAGCGGGAGATGATGTTGGAAGTTCCAGTGACATCGTACGTGGTTTTCCTTTTTCATCCTTTTTTCCGTCAAGTAGATCAAACAATGATGTATTTCTGCTAGAAAAAGATCTTTTGTTTACTTTCCACGTGCCCTTTGCACAGCGGGCACGTTTGAATTTCCCCCGAGCACTCGAAGCAAAGGCAAAGATGGCCACATGGCAACAAAGCGTGGTCAGAATTCTTGACCAAACAGGCACAGCACGTTGGTACCCGTGGTCGTTTCTCCTCAGTATCTTGCTTCCACTTGATGAAGCCTTGCACGTGATGGTGGGTTGCGTCCACCACTCCCCTCTCGCCAAGGCCATTCAGCCAGTCCACAACAAAGAGACTTTTCCGTGTGCCCTCCATCAAAGCTGACACGCCATGTAGCACTCTGCATGGGTGCTGGCACACAGATCCAGCTGGTCTCTCAAGCATCTCTAAGTGGTCATTGACAAAGAAACAAAGCTGTCCACCGGTATAGTCTTCAGGGCTGTTCAAGGCAATCTGCACCGTGCCGGTCGCATAAGTGCCATCACAATGAAAGTTGATGCATGCATTGCTCGGCCCTTGGGTCATCCGCAAAGCAAGTTTTGGTCCGGTTGAAGGATACGTCCGAGGAATTTCTCGAGGAATTTCTTCAAACAGGGAATGGAGTTTCTCAAGAAGATCTGCTTCCTGCGGATTGCCAATGGTCCCAAGCATGGCCAGGAATCGGAAGAGCTCATCAGGTAGAACAATGCGCATATCAACTATCTTGGTTTCGGAAAGGCTCCACATGTAGTCTAGGAACAAACAGAGCAGTAGGCGGACCTCGTCACTAAGGACCTCTTCATCAGATGTGAACTTGAAGGTCTGAAAAGGGTCGGCGCCCTGCCTTTTCGCCTTCTGTTTGAGGGCTTTCAGCGGAACCTCCGCCACGTCTCGCTCTGCATCCGACAGCATCAAGTACTCGATCAAGGGATCGGTCGGTCATTCTCGGTGAAGGTACTAATCATACCTCTCAACCTCAACACCAAATGCAGAGTGGACTCCTTCATAATGGCGTAGCCACTCAAGGTTCGTCCCTCCTCCAGCTGTTTGCCCGCGAAGATCATTCGCTGCTGATCGGGAGGAATGCCTGCTTCGTCAAAAATTTGCTCTTTCACTCTCTCAATGGTGTAGTCAGGCTGAACATCCAAGGTGAGAGTTACACCCGTCAGTGTTTTCACAAAGATCTGCATAGATAGATGAACCGCTATGACAACACAGGCACCGCTAAACCTGCAATACAGCTCGAGCCACTAAACACCTCGAAGGTATAAATCGAAGCTGAAACACCAGCATTGACAGTGTCGATGCAAGAAAACCGTCTCTCAGTCTGAATTGTTGGGACACTCACTCGCACTCTCACACATACTAACAAAAAGCAAATAGTGACTGAGAATGTACACCACCCTGGGTGTCGTCCGAGGTCAGTCAGGTCAACCCACCAGGCAGTCGTCTCCGCCGTCCGCGCCTGTGCTCCACCGGGGGTCGCTGGGCACGTGCACCATGACGCTCCATCGTGAGCGACCGCGCGACTCACGCGACCCACGCTCTTTGTGCACCACTCCGGTGCGAGCGGTGACCAAGCAGTCAGGGAGTCGAGATCCGCTTTCGTGTCTGGTTTGTAAAATGAAGTACAGTATATTGACATATATACGTATATAGTATACATATATATATATATTATTGTTATTATTATTACTATTATTATTATTTAGATGTAGATGTATATATAATTGTTATATAATGCATATCCAATGCTTGGACTGTTCCATTCCTTTCCCACCAAAGCAGGTCTAGAATGGGTTCCAGGAATGCGTTGTGCTTGGATGATTCGATGCTCACATGGAGCTTGGATCTGATGTTGGAGTGCTTGGTGCATATTCAACCACTAAACAAGTTGCTGAGTGTGAATCTACGATAACAGTTATTTTTCCCATCAGGTTTCCCTGGTGGCCCATAAATAGATGAGCATCTGTGCGTCTCGCGATGACCTTCTACCCGTCCTGCTTCATGCGCCTCAGCAGCCTTGATCCAAAGTTGGGGAACTCCCGGTTTCGGGACATCGTTCGTCCAAAGCGCGCAGAAGCAGCCAACAAGGTTTCAGCGGAAGTCACCATCCGGCAGAATCGGGACTTCAGCACAGCGAGTGGAGCGTTGAGTTGGACCCCTTTTCTCAAGGCTCCAAACAGCCGACCAAATCAGATCCGTTCCCAGCTCTGCCCGAACATCCGGCCGCGGCTGGCGCCTCCAGTTGGTGCAACTGCTGATAGAGGTTGATGTCCTCCGACGGTTCAATCCATCGAGGTGGTCCATCGGTTGAGCCCCTTCTTTTCATGGGAGGATCGATCGAGATGGCCCCGTCTGAGCTGACCAGGCCGATTTCCTTGAAGGATGATCTATGTTTCATGGAGAGAAGACGAACCATCCTGAAGCTCAACTGGTCCCGGAATCATAGTGTTTCCGGAGGATCTTCGGTGAGATGATATGTTTCAAGACTTCGAACTACTTCACTCCTCTACATCTGTTTGCAATTCTCGGTCAAATTGGCAGCTTGCACAGCAATACATTGGCGTTGGGTACACTGAAAATGCTGGACTTGTTGGGCTAGTCCGAAATCATCTTACCGCCGACCGCCAAGAAAAGAGCCAAAAATCCAAGGCGAAACAAAAAACAATAAATACAACAGCCGGTCCAAATTCTCAAGTGCCGACGTCCCTTTACATCCATTACATTTGTATGGTCACTTGCTATAGATTGGATTGTCCAATCGTCAGGATCTAGGATGACTCCGTCAGGAGGCTCTCCAGCCAGCAGTCCTTGAGAGTCCTTCAGAACGAGGGTCCCTTTGGTTCAAAGAATCGTCTTGGGGCGACCAGAAACCGTGGCCCTCCTGTAACAGTCCAAAAAGACTCCTACCAAAAGTGCGAGTCTTAATACTACCAATGAGGGCATCGAAAATAGAAGGAGGAAGAGGAGTCTTGGGGGGAGGGAATTGCTCTTCCCAATCTATTTAACTAGAGAAACCCCAAAAAGCCAGAAAGTGAATCCCCTTTCAACGTCTAAACAGGGAACTGTGTTTCATCTGCAGATGATGTGTCTCTGTTGAAGCACCTCCTCCCAATCACCACTTCCCCACATCCCATCCCCTCCGTGTCATCATCCCCCACAGGGTTCTCCATCATCTCTGCTAGCCTGCAACAGATCTCAGCCGCCCGGTCGGCCAGGTTGGCAAGCACATCAGTCAAGCACCAGGCCGACACTGAACATCTCTTGGCTTGTAGACAAGCCAAGAGGAATTCTACCCAAGGTTCCTTAGCCACCTTTTCTCATGATTCAAGGATGTGGCAGCGCTCAACAAATAGCCCTCTGAGTAGGGCGAGTGCTGTGTGGGTCTCACAAAACAGGGAGCGGCGCTCTTGTTTGGGACCGGATGTCACCGTCCATGGGCTAGATATAGGCTAGGTTCTGGCACCCTATCAGAGACCATATGCTTGAGATCACTGCGGTCTTGTAGTCAATCAAACAAAAAGGCACAGCCAAAACGCGATCCCCCAAAACGCCAAAAACACCACCCCAAAAACCCTCAGCGATCCTCCTGTGCTCGGTCACTCCCGGTCTCTCCCGGTCTGCACGCCGGTCGTCGCAGGTCGACGCCTCTCCAATCCCGACATGGCCTGATCGAGAGGCGGTCTCGGCGGTCGAGACGGGTCGTTCTGCGGGAGCACGACCCGTAGCAGACCCGGTCGTGGTGGAAAGTTGCTGCGAAATCAGTGGGAACTTGCTGGAATTGCTGGGAACTTGCTGCGTCGCGGTGCTTTTCTCTGCTTTTCCATCGTTCCGAACGAGACGAAACAGAGGATCAGAGTATAGAGATGGCAAGAACACCAAACAAGGTCTTGTTTGGATGGGGAGACCCGTTCTCAGCACCTCAGTTGGCTGTGCCATCTACGAAAGCCGTGTATCCCTTGGATGTTTTGGGTTGTGCAGTCAAGGCAAAAACATCAACACTCTGGGATCCACCCATCAGGCCCCTCGACCTATGAGACCCGTGCAGCGGAATCCTATATCATCGTAAATCTACTTCAAGGTCCCCCTCCACAAAATCATAGATGCACCGTGCCTCCAAAGTGCTTGAGGCGACAGTCTTCTAGAAAGGAAGCTAATCAATTAAGTATCTCTATACACTGAATTACATCAAGCAACACGGCGTGATCCAAGGCAAAGGGACCAACCGGGTGTGACATCTGCTTGTGGCTAAGCTTAACGTCTGAAACCGACCAAGCTAGTGAAGATAGCACTAGTACCACTAGTAGGGGTACCACCAGTGCAGGTCCCACTAGTACAGCTACTTGTGAAGTAGAGATCTGGCTTCTCAAAATGTCCGCCGGGTCACCCAATAGACCACGAAGGGAAAGACAATGTTGTCCTCGGTGTCGGAGACGTTTCGCTGCAGCGGACAGCACGAGCCGCTCGTTAATTTAGTAGAATTTTAATATTAACTATAATAGCTTCTTGTTACTACTAGTAAGGCACTTGTTACTAGTAGCGTGGCACTTGTTACTACTAGCTTCTTGTTGGATTTTCGTGAGTTTCGCATTGAGTGCCGCTCCGCATCATTTCCTCTGCAAGGTGGGGCCATTTTGGCTGGGCCGAAAAGCACGCTCTGTCACACCGTCAACGTTAGTGCATGTGAGCTGTTCTAAGGAGCCCGCTTTGAAACCTAACAAGCCCACCCAAGCTAGCGGCGACCAACCAGTCTTATGTTGACCAATGGCAGCCATACATGGCCAACCATCAAATAATGGTTTCACAAAAAAAACGCAAAAATACAAATAAAAAGAAAAACAAAAGCAAATGAAAATGTAAAAGCAGCGCAATTTGCTTTGTTTTTGCATTTGTGTTGCTTTTTTTGCTTTTTTCCTGGTACCACTTCTGCACTTATGAGAACTTTTACCCGTCAGCAATATTTGCTGTACCCTCCTAGGAAAAAAGCGACAAAAAAAAAAAGCAGAACAAATGCGAAAATAAAGCGAAAAAATGCAAAAATAAAGCAAAAAAAAAATGAAAAAAAGCGACAAATACGAACTACATGTTTTTGCTGTTTTGTTTGCTGTACCTTTTGCTTTTTTTTGCTTTGTTTTTGCTTTATAGATTTATTTTGGCTCCTTGCGCTAGCCCTGCGAGTACCAAAGGCCAAAGACCAGGTGGTTTCGCCTGCCGTGCTCTTGTACTCCTTCTGAAAATTTGGTTTAGCAGAGCGAAAAACCCGATGGATTCTCCCGATGGTTGACAGATCCGGACATACCCATATCTGGTAGATAGACCGAAGGTGCATGTTCCTCCACCAGGTTGGAGGCCAGCTCTCAGCAAGTACTCCCCTTGGGTGGGGCGATGTATTTGAACGGCAAGATGTTCGTGTACAAAGTCCTCCATCCCCTTCTACTAGCTCTTTGACAGGTCCAAGAGGCGCAAATGCTACCCAAGTTATCTTCGCCTGCGCCGTGCGCAGTGGGCCAAAAGGAACCGGGAGGATGCGGCGGGGGCCATGGTCTTCAGCAGTGGTTTCGAAGTTGTGCATTCTATTGCATCAGATGGTGTGCAAGCAAGCGTGATTAGTTTCATTGATATACAGGCTTGCCGAAAAGACTTGTACCGCCAACTGGTACAAGATCCCTCTTGATTTAACTACATGACATGGGCGATGGACGAAACTTCGGAGTGACCCAATTCAACAGATAGAGTTCGGTCACAGACAGAGTTCAGTTTCAGAATGGCAGTCCAAAAAGGACAGAACTCCTCTTTTGCCCACAGTGCAATGATATATTTGTATATGATAGTCTTCCTATGACATCCTACAGTAGCTAGAAAAAGTTCTAAGGCCAATGGGAAGACAACCAACAATTTTCGCTGGAACTCCATCTTGAACCCGTTCCACAAGCCGGTCGATGTCGACACGGACGACCACGGCCTAGAGCGGTCACCATGGGCCACATGAAGCTGAAGATCACCTGGCGGAGATCCCAAAGATCGGAGATCCCGTCCCCCACCGAGCTTCCTTCCACCCGACTTGATCATTCAGCCTTTGGGGGGGGGAGGCTGAGAGCTTTGGGGGAACGTGAAATAGCTCCACCATGCTTCACCTCCTGCTCACCCACCGCGGAGCTGTTCACCGCGCCGCGCATCCCGGCGACGCGAGACGCGGGCGCACCACGATCACGCGGCAATGCCTGGGACCGGTGCGTCCGCCGAGTCCGTCCCCGGATGGAAGCACGGTGTGATCACCCCAGACTCACGGTATTTGTGTGGCCCAAAAGGGACACGTGTGTTTTGGTCTTCTGGTGTAAGTTTGTTGTAATCAAGTGTGTTTTTGACATGTGTGTATAATGTATGTAATATATATATATATATATATGTGAATGGCCTCTTTGTAGAAGAACCTGGAGCTCTCTGGTTGTTTGAGGCTCAGCTATATTCTGCAGGTCCCTTTACAACCCCTTGCCATTGT